GATTAGCTTTATCTAACCTTATCAAGGTTAGATAAGTCATTTGTCTTGAGTGTGTCCAAATTGTTAAGTCATCCCCATCAGTAGATGTGTGGATAGAAATTGATCTGGCTACAGAAACTGGAGAGGAATTATTTTATTGTAATAAATCATTTATTCCAAGGTTTTTTTCTTTTTAAAAATTATGTTTATGTACATATTTTGGGGGGAGGGGCATGCATATACACACTCATGTGGAGGTCAGAAGACATCTTGGAGGAATTGGTTCTCTTTTTATATCATATAGATCCTAGAGATCAAACTTGGGTTGTCAGGCTTGGTGGTAGTCACCTTTACTGTGATGCTTCCTTTCCTAGGGTTACCAGTGAAAGGGAGGTGGGGTCCAAGGTCAACCATGGGAGGTCCATCCTTCATGGCCTCCAACCTGCAGAATATTAAGCATTGTGCTGGACAGCTTTAGTTGTCAACTTGACACACCTGGGTAGTGGGAGCCTCAATTAGTGAATTGTCTCCACTGGACTGGCCTGTTGCCTTGACTGTGGGGCATCTTGATTATTGAGCAATGTGGGAGGACCCAGCCCACTGTGGGTGGTGCCACCCCTGGGCACGTGGTCCTATGTTGTATAAGAAAGCAGGTTGAGCAGGGGCCAGGGGAGCAAGTCAGTAAGCAGTGTTCCTCCATGGCCTGTGCTTCAGCTCCTGCCTCCAGGTTCCTGCCCTGAGTTCCTACCTTGGGTTCCCTCAGTAATGAACCCAGGAGATGTAAGATAAATAAACCCTTTCCTCCCCAAGTTGGTATTGGTCAGAGATTTTTTTTTTTTTGTCTTTTTGAAGCAGGGTCTCCCTGCAGCCCCAGCTGTCCTGGAACTCACTATGTAGACAAGGCTGGCCTTGAACACACAGATCCGCCTGCCTCTGCCTCCCAAGCACTGGGACTACAGGCGTGCTCCACCATGACCCGCTTGGTCAGAGTATTTTGTCAGAGCAATGGAGAAACAAATTAGAACATACATTAAATACAGTTTTAATCACAATGCACCTTTCAAAAGTGGAAACTTGTGAGGAAAAACTTCAATTTCTTGATTTATGTAAAAATCCTCATTTGGTTTTAAGATTAATTTGGCCTGACAGGACTTTTAGTCTCCTTGGGAAGTACTGGCAAATTATGTAGCTTTTCTCTTTATAGAAAGAGCACATGCACAGACAGGCTCCGTGTCTGAATATGTCACTATGTAGCCCTGGCTGACCTCAAATTTAAGGGGGTCTGTCGGTGCCAGCTGGCCAAGGCGGACAGTACCTGAAAGGGGGAGTGAGGATTGAAAGAAAAAACAAGAGACAGAGAAAAAGATACTTGGGAGGACTGTCAGTAGAGACTGCAGCCC